ATGTGTTTTTATGTGGAATATTTTGAAATTTGTTTTATGTGTGCTTAGTTGTGAATGTTTTGAGGTAATATCAGGTTTGTGTCTTAACCTTAGGAAGAGTAAGATCGAGGGCATTAATGTCGGGGGCTCAAGATGTGCATGACCTTGCTATCTCTATAGGGTTTGATGTTTAGACTAGATGGTTGCTACTGTGGTGTCCCTTGGTGGGGAAATTTGTTATTTGCCTTTTGATAACCTATGGTTTCTAAGATTTCCAAACTCCTAGAAAGAAAACTTGTCATTTGCCTTTTGAAAAGCCAAGGTTTCTAAGATTTCTAAATTCCTAGAAAAAATTGGAAGGGTGCTCTTTTCTAGCTTGGGGGTGGGTCACTCCAATTTAATCATGTTTTTCTAGCATCCCCTTGTATTTTCTCTTTCCAAAATCCCCAGAGGTGTGGCTGACAATATTAAAGTGGCTTATGAAAGCTTTGATTTGGTTGGGTTTGAGTGAATCAAAAGTTATCATTTAGTCAACTCGGATAGATATTGGAGTCTAAGAGGAAGGTTGTCTTGGTATTGGAATTTTTATTATAAAAATTTGTCTCTTTTAACTTACCAAGATTGTCTTTAGAACCTTATTCTTAGTAGGAAATGGTTGTAGAGGGCAACTATGGTCTTCATCAGAATGGATGAGATTTTGGAGTATTTATTTCAAGCACTTACAAAAGGCCATGGAGGGCAATGGTCTCTGTTTTCCTTCTTACCTTTCATTCAGTTGATGGTTCACTGATGGTTCTTCCTTGTTTTTAACCTTCTTCCTGGGATGATCCTTGGATTCATAATGTTTCTTTTGCTTCTCAATTTCTGAGATTATAGATTATCTAGATCATCTAGAATTTCCTTTTTCTCCCATATTCTTTATTATGATTTACTATTATTTGAGATAATGGTTCCATCTCTTGGAAATTTTCTTTTTTTAGAAACCTTAACGACCATGGAGCAAGAGATATGACTAGTCTTTCCTACACTCCAGATTTTGTGGTGTTTCATAATTTCCCTGACTGTAGAATCTGGTTTTTGAATACTTATAAATTGTATTTCAATTTCTTGATTCACGCCATTTTGGTTGTCACAAGCAGAGGAATTATCCTGGAACTTTCACTTTTCCGGAAGCTTTAACGATAGGGAGAAGCTACTCTTTTTATTCTTCCACCATGAACTTACACTAAATTTTACCTTTCCTTGTTCATCATTCAGGATAGTCGGGTTACATACAACAGTAATGCCTTGGAATTTGATGCTAGCAGCAGTACTAAGAGGCCAACGCAAGCTGCAGCCATTCTGGACTGCAAAAATGTAGAGCATGGTGGGAAATATCGGTTCTCCTTCTCTCGGAAATCAACTGAAGCCCTTGAGGTTCAGGAAGACATTAGAAAATATGTCAGAAGTTTTGGAAAAGAAAGAGAGCAACTTGATGATAATGCACCGATTGGAAGATCAAAACCCATTGATTTGGAGAAGTATGACGAGCAGAGTAAAGTACAGAGCTTGTTGTTTGACTGTGTGGCTTTTAAGAACAGATTAGAGTCGGGCAGCCTGCTACTTTGTGGTGGAAGAATTGCGAATACATCTTCTCTCTTTGCCTCTATGATCTAAGGTTCTTTTGGCTAGCTTTTCATGTGTGAATTATGTATATCATTAGATTGTCAAAAAGAAACTGTGAACTAATAGAGGTTCTGCTTTTCTCATTATTTCTCCGTCTTCAAGCAAAATGAATTGGTCTTCATTCTTGAAAATCAAAATCATGTTTCTTGTGAAGAAATTTTTGTGTTAATGGTTCTGCAGATGGGCTATTGTAATAAATGATACTTGTAGTTTTTCTTTTTGAAATTAATGCTATTTGTGATTTAGTTTTTACATATTGATCTTAGTTAGTTTGAGCAGCTTGTAAATTTTGAGCTATGCGGTTAATCTAATCCAAAAACATGATGATTTAACCTCAAGAAAGGATGCTAATGAAAACATAAAAAAAATAAACTACTGCCTGGCCTCTCAATCTCATGCTATAGTGAGAAATCAAATCAATTATGTTTTTACTGGTTTACGTGTTTTGATTTTGATTTCTCATTTGCCTTTTCTTTAAATCCAAATTATAGTAATCTGCATTTCTAGCTGTTGTTTATATATAATTGGCTTTTGGTTTTGAATATACAACTGTTTTCTAAATGATTTCGGATTTGGGTGATTAAGCTGGCTGTTAATTTGGTATGTTTCTTTTCATCGTTTTTTATGCACAATTCAGAGTTTGAATTCATAGTCTCAAAGAAAGAGATGAAAGTACTAATTATATAACCAAACCATAATTAATTTCTTCTTATTCATCAAATTATAATTCTTCTTTGACAAGTACGAGGAAAAAGACCCTTGGGATCTCCATTCCAATGATATCAACATATATTTAAGTAGCATCATATCAGAATTCTAACATTCTGAAATATATGTTTGTAGAAATATTTCAGTAGATAAATGGATGCACATAAAATGAAAAGTATATAACTTGAATCAATTCCGAGTAATAAATCAAAGTGGCGAGCGTAAAAGGCAAACAAAACTTAAAGCAGTCAGCTTGGAAAAGTGTGTTTTCCTACTGATACTATACCAATTTGCTATATATATATATATATATATATATATATACATGTTAAGGAAAACATGCATTATTGAAACTGGAATGAGGCTAGGGACGAAGAGAGGAGAGGACCACATCTTGGAGAGAGCTATCTCTTTGCATTGCAGTTTTGAACTCATCAAAGGTGACTTTGCCATCGCTGTTTGCATCCATCAGGTCAAATATCTCGTCTAACTTACCAGGTTCTGTAATGTCTACTGGAAGGCAGTCATCAGGCAAAGCCTATGTATACATATAATACATACCCAGTTAATTAAATTTCCTTGTCATCATCAATATATACACACACACATTCATTCTACATATATATATATATATATATATATATATGAATGGTTAGGAGCAAGAGCCTTACTCTCAGCATCGACGCTACCTCCTCCTTGGTGATGCATCCCGATCGATCAGTGTCATACATCTGGGCACAGATATATTGAGATGAAATATATATATTGCGATAACCCTAATTATGTATATGTATACATGTACAAGTGGTTGAAATGAAATAATTAAGTCATGCACCTCGAAACAAAGATGGAGAGCATCATCTCCTCGAGAGTTTCTAAGAGTTGATAATCCGCAAAGTAATTCTCTGAGATCGACTGTTCCATCACGATTATTGTCGAAAATATCAAATATTCTAGGTGCCAAAGGAATAAGTGAGAACATGTTCATTGCTTTCAGCACTTCCTCGAATTCTGACAAAGTCGCATTGTCACCTTTGGCGCATCTACATGCATATCAAGAAATAAAATCATGAGAAATTCAGAAGAACTAAAAAGCTCTATTCAATACATAAAACATCTTATAATTTTTTATTTCTAAATTTATATACATTTGAAGGTGGAGGTAGTAAAAATTGCATATTTATAAAATAACCAAAGCAACAACAAATTAATTTTCTAAAAAGGACATATATATAATAACATTTGAAAATTTTATGGCTATACCATTATTTTTATCATTATTCTCCCAATTTGTATTCCTTAGTGAAAAAAAAAAATATATATAGATTTAGAAAATAAAAAAACAATAGATGTTTTGATATATGTAAGAAAAGAGCTAAGAATTAATTGAATGGGTTACTAACATTTTGTGGAAATGGGTTCTGAGATTGCTAATTTCTTCCTCCTTAAGGTCGTAGGAGCCTAACAAAGACTTAAGTTTCTTGCTTCTCAAGAAAACCGTGGTGCTCCACACGCTTGCTATTGCGGCTGCTCGGAGTTTGCGACGAGCATTGAAGCTTTGGAGTCTTGAGACTATTTCGGGGTCAATTTCAGTCTGCTTCGCTGAATCGCCTATAACCCATGGATGCTGGAGAAGCTGTTTAATTTCAACTCTTTAATATAATATATGTACAGGATATGTATGTACGTACACACACACACACACACACACAAATACATACATGTTATACATATGTTTGTTCATATATATACATATCTATTGATAGGTCAAAATCCAAACCATATGACATTATTGACAGAAGTTGATTAACATACCTATTGATATATGTTAAGAGTAACCATATATATGTAATGCAATAGTGAATGTACCTGCTGAGCAGTGGGTCTTTTATCAGGATCAACCGCCAGGAGAGAGTTGATTAAATCCTTAGCTGATTGAGAAATATTCTTCCATGTCTTCTCGTAGAAACTGAAATCTGCCTGTGCACAAAATTAATTAAACTATGACATAACCCTATTGCTTATATATATATATATACACACACACACACACCATATTGCTTATATATATAGTTGAAGAAAAGAAATCAATTGACATACTTGCATTATCATTTGCTGTTTTTGCCGATTTGACTGAGCAAAGAAAGGTGGGTATCTGTAAATATGAAAGAAAAATCAATTATTAGACTAAAGGTGAATATAAACTGAACATACATCATGGTCACCACCACCTAAAGATTCATATAAATTGGAATCAATTATTTTATAAGATAAAACATAAAATAACTTAAGTATGCAAATTTTATTATTGCAAACAAAATAAAAAAAAGTTAAGAAAATAAACTTATCAAACTCTATTAACTAATATGTTTGTTTTTGTTGGAGATGGGAGGAAGAGGTAGGAGAGACTAAGAGGAAGAGACAAGTTTTTCTATTATAGTTTTTGGAAAAAAACTTTCGAGTATATGACTATTTATATGTACTATAACAACTCTTAAAATTTCAAATAATCAATTTCAACTTTCAACAAACTAACTAACACGTTATAACTCTAATTTATGAATCAGAATTAATAACAAACTAAAAGATACATAAAACTCGAATTTATGAATTACAACTGCTAATAAACCATAACACGCATAATTATATTCTTAATTTGCAAATTATTTCTAATACTCCCTCTTAATATGCAAATTTTCTTTTTATTCCAAGATTAGTATTGAATTTTTGAAAGACTAAAAACTTGAGTGACTTGGTGAAAATATCCGTCACTTGATCTTGAGTCTTTATGTACTTGAGCTACACTTTTTTTAGTAAAGTAATCTCTAATAAAATGATATCTATTGTCTATGTGTTTGCTTTATTTATGAAATATTAGATTATTTGCTAATACTTGTGTGGACTTATTGTCAATAAAAGTTTAAGTAGTTTCTTCTTGTGTCAAATGAAGTTCCTTCAACAATCTTCTAAGCCATGTGGCATGACAAACACAAGAGGTTGTTGCCACATATTTAGACAACAAGTTGATAGTTTAACAATAACTCGCTTCTTAGAACTCTATATAATTGCACAATTATTCATAAAAAATACAAAATCAGTTATACTTTTTTCATTATCAATATCTCTAATAAAATCATTATCACAAAATCCTACAAGTTTGAAATCATTAGGTGATGAATAAAATAACTCGAAATCAATAATACTTTTAAGGTGATATTGAATTCTTTTAGCATCATTCATGTGAGAGGTGATAGAAGCTTCCATAAAAAAACTTATTAATCTAACTACAAAAAGAATATCGGGGCTTGAAAAGATCAAGTATCTCAAACTTTTCATAAAACTTTTAAAGAGAGTGGGATCGACTTTGTCTATTATTTGTAATATCTCGAGTCCGAAATTTTGGCTCGGAATGATGTAATGTACCTTTTTAAAATAATAATAATAAGTGAAGGATTTAATTTTAATTATCTTTATTATTTCTTTTCTTTTTTTTTTGGAGAAAATATATTTTGAACCTTTTTGAAACACCATCTGAACAATTGGGGCCAATATGTAAATAAAAAGGACTTGTCTGAAAGAAATTTGGAAAGACGGGCCACGAAGGACGACCACATCAGCAACATGACGAATCGGGGTGTGCCGCGTGGCGATATGTCGACATGGATTCCACGCAAGAGGCCATGCGGGCGATCTGCGTGCGAGATCGATCGAAAAGCTAGGACCATTCCTGTGCGCATGAATGACCCATATTAATTTTCTGGATTAGATTGATCAAACGACTCGCATGTCTTCGATCGGATTGCCCAGATGTGTTTCCCATATAAGTACAATTGAACGGTCTCGGTTGTGCCACATGGCCCCGCACGGATGACCTAGATTAAAAGAAAGAGATTAAACCTTTCTTCCCTGTCGAAACCCTAACCCTACCCGACACCCAATTCGGAGAAGAAGAAGAGAGACAGTTGGAAGGAGACATAGCCACTAGAGGAACGCCGGTGCCATTGTGCCAGAACGACGAAATTAGTTTGGGTAACCGAGAAAAATCACAACCCGCGAGGAAGGAACGACGGAGCCTAACTGAGCTGCTGCACCAGAGGACTAAACCACCGATAAGTCTCTGCTTTTCCCTTCTTTTTGCCAAAAAGCACCCCTAACCACGATTTGAGCAGATTTTAACCAAAAATTGGTCAAAATCGGTTTAACTGAGAGGAAGAATCGCCGGAAAAGGAGGACTTGATGGCAGAGCACGGCGGTGCCACTGCGTCAGAACTCCAACCCGACCCCCCGACGAGATTTTTACTCTTTTTTGCCGTTTCTTGCATATTTTCACGTTATATTAGCGCACGTTTCAACCTTTCCAGGAAAACCTAAGAAATCTAAGAATCGAGAATCGTTGAGAACCGTAGTGATAAAGACGGTGTTTTAGATACCGACCAATAGTAATAATCTCTCACCATTTCCTCTGTTACGGTTAAATTAAAACTAAATTGAAAATAAATAGAAGTTTAAAACAGTTAATGATTTCTCAGTTAATTAAGTATAAGTTACCGATGGAGCCAGTAACTGGTCTGTCTTTATTTGCTATTACTTCAATTGTGTCAGTTGTATTAACTATCTCTGTAATCGCTTTATTGTGGCTATTTATTTATTTGTGCCACTTTAAATGTTACAATCTACCTGCTTTAATTTATGTTGATTCAGTCAGTATGATATGCCTTATGTTATTCTTGTTTTTGTGTCTACCTATATCCAGTATATTATTCGTACTTTTGTGTTGTTTGGGGGATGCGACATATGCATCATTAAGATTAAAAATTTAATAAGAGAAAAGATATGAATGAGTCAAGGTTATTAAACAAAAGGGCTTACTGAGTGTCATGAGGAAAAATTTAAAGACTTGATACATAGGGTGAACCCTACCGTGGACATTACCCTCAGCCGTACGGGGTTGGGGAGTCCCATCCTGGACAAGGTTGGGAGTTTATGAATTTTGCTCATACTGGACCGGGTATTGAGTCGGTTATTAATTGTGACGCCCATTACCAGATGGAGTATGAGGACGACAAGTTTATTTTCAAGAAAATGTTTGTATCCACGTGTAGCGGGGATCCCTATGGATCCCAGTGACACTGGTAGGGGCAAATGACACTATAAAGTAGAGATGAATATGGTAGGGAATTTGATTTTGGGAAGATAACGAAGGGTCAAACGTTATATATCTTGAAAATATATATTACCAAATTGTTACTTTGATTTCTTTTATTTAAATATATTACATTTGGAGAAACTACTGGTTAGTCGAGATAGTACGAATATTTTCAGTGAAACTAATAACGAATGTACTATCATTCGAGTTTAATTAAGAGTATACCCCATTGATTGTTTTATATTTTCTATAATTCTTTGATTTTCCGTATCAGTAGTAAAGCATTGATATTCTTATTGAGTTAGTGTAACTCACCTCATTTTATTAACCATTTCAAATCAGAAAGACCATGACCCAGATCTTGAACAACAAAAGACCAGTTAGAGGATTGCCTCTTCCACTTCGTCATTTGAGTAGAAAAGGACTATATTTATTGTTAGTGCTTTCTTCGTTAAGTTTTCTAAAAAGCATTCCCATAACCCCTATTTGGGCACCTTAAGTAAATGTGTACGAAATATAACCCCCTAAACTTTAATTATTTCTACTAAATAATAGATTTTAGTATTATCAATTTTATTTTTACTGAGTTATGTGCTCCAAATTCTGAATAGGGGTTTGGGCTTTTACATTATTAAACTTTGATAACTTGACTCCACATTCCATAAACGTATTCATAGGATTGTAATTAAGCATTTTGAATTTTTTAAAGATTTTTCTTGCATAGCCTTTTTGAGAAATAAAAATGCCATCTTCCATTTGCTTCACCTCAAGACCCAAATAGTAAGATATGAGTCTTATATCGGTGATTTCAAATTTAAGTAATATGTCTTTATTGAATTCTTCAAATAAGTCTGGATTGTTGTAAGTGAAGATGAGGTCATCCACATATAAACACACAAGTAGAATGTCACCATTATCATGATACTTCACATAAAGAACATATTCATGAAGATAACAAACAAACCCATTATCTTCAAATTTATATGACTATTCCATGCTTTTGGTGTAATACCTAGGTGGGTACAAATGAAAAGAAATAATAATAATAATAAAATCTATATATAATTAATTAAAAATGAAAAAAAGAGAAGGAAAAAAAGAAAACAAAAACAAAAATAAAAAAAGAATATCTAGAAGAAAAAGAAAGAGTCCAGGTATATGTGCATATACATATATCTGTGTATATGTATAATTAGATAAAATAAAATAAAAGAAGAAAAAGAGAAAGTAAAGAAGAACCCAAAGTGTATACTCTGAAAGTAGAAAAGGAAGACATATGGCATGTGTATACATATATATAATTAAATAAAAAATAAAAAATAAAAGAAAAATAAAGAAAGAAAAAAAGAAGGATGTAAAGAGCAGGAGAATAGGACCTAAGGGGCAAATATGTATATGTATATATATATGTAATTAAATAGTAGAAAAAAAGAAAGAAAAGAAAAAGAAAGAGAGGGGAGAGTGAGGAGTGAGAGACGCAATTGTGTGAAGAGAGATAAGGTTGAGTAGCATCGACGACCGAGAGAGATGGGTTGCATGGTGTTGCATGATGTCGCGACTGAAGGAGAAAGAAAGAGGAGAATAATCACTGTTGGTGAGAGAGAGAAAAAGATGAGAGAGAGAAGAGTCA